TCAATAAAAGGAAATCAAACTACTTGTTTTTAATTTTCACCTTGGTCCAAGCTAAAAAATAAAAAAAATCCTCTTGAATATTACTGTAAAACACTCAGCGAAATGAGAACCGGTAACACTTTCGCACATTTAAGAGACAATGACAGAGAGCAGGAGAGAGAGAGAGAGAGAGAGAGAGAGAGAGAAAGAGAGAGAGAGAGAAAGAGAGAGAGAGAGAGAGGGGGGGTGGGACAGAAACACAGTAACATAAAATTCATAACTTTTTATGAAAGAGCAGATATCAAGAGAAGAAAAGGCAAAATAAAGATACAGACATAAAGTCTACCGATGAAGAGACAGAAAGACCGTAATATAAATTGGAAAAAGGGATATGAAAAAGGGCAAGCATCAAAGAATAAAGTAAGATTACCGAGAGGAATTAATAGAGGAAAGGGGTAATTATCAGCTTCAATAAAACAAGCGAAATGACCAATCTAGGATGTCTCACTAAAGATTACACTGCTTTGTTCAATATTTAATCTCTCATAATGGCAAGGCTGTCCAGACATATGACTTGCATTTTTAACTCTTGTTGAGCCAGACTTTCCCTATGTTGAGATTTTTTACCAAAATGTGATTGTTGCTTCCTTTCAAATATTAGCATTTATTTTCCATGGCAATGCACAATACACGGTTTTGTTTATGAAGAATAAAGGAAAAAATTCAGCCCTCTTTAATAAAACTACAAATTGTTAGTATATTATATGAGCAATGCAATGTTATATTAATGATATTTCATTTCTTTTCTATTTTTCAAAATTCAAAAAGAAGAAAAAAACATTGAAAGTCATCATTCCATATGTAGCCATTCCTTTTTGAAACATCACATTCTTTATCTAACATCTTACTCTGAAATATAAAAACAAATTTACTAAACTCCAACTGCATTTATCTTATAAAGTATACTGCTCCCCAAAAAGGCCTTTAAAAAAATGTTGTATTGCCCTTTAGGTTCCAAACATGGGTCGGTCTGTCCTTCTTTGGGCTGATATTTCTAAGTTTTGAATGCTTTAACACATTTTTTTTCTAATAAAATGGTAAAAAATAAAATAATTTTGGGTCGGTCACAAAGGGCAATACAACATCTTCTTTTTTTTTAAGGCCTAATAGTAATTTCTTAAAGAGACAGACAGAGACAGACACACAGAAAGACAAACAGGCAGAAAAGGGAATGTCCGGCTGCTGGCATGAAAAAGAAATGCATGGACAAAGATTAGCCAAACAAAGTTTGTACTTCTCAGAAAGGAGTAATTGGGGGAGGGGCAGGACACCCCCTCAAAACCAATGAATTGCATTCTGGGTAATCAGCCAAACCAAAATGGTAAACTAACCCTGACTGAGATAAAATTTCCATGGCCAAGTCTAGGGTCAATTAGCAGCCAAGGGAAAACGAACGGATGACTTTCAGAAAGAAGGTCGTCTACATCGACAAAACGATCATAGTACATGTATCAGATCATGGGCTGATGCTGGAATTACATGGACTAAAAATATTTGGCTCAAAGGCTAGAGCAGGCTCCGGTGGGGGGGGGGGGGTGACGGCCGACGTGGGTGTGCCGCTGAAGCTCATTTTTTAAAAAAAATTGGTGTTTGCATGGTAAAAACCCTGACATTTTTCAACATTTTCAAAATTCTGAAAAAGCAGACCAATTTAGGTGTATTTTTGATAAATATAGGACCCATTTTTAAAGATTTTTTATGAAAAAGTTACCCATTAGAGTGGCACATCCCTGTATGTCTTAATATGTGAGTAACGTGCCCAGGGAGCTAGCTATAGCTGGTTTACCTTTGATTTTAGAGTAGCTAATCTGAATTGACATGCCCTCACACACCCAATGTTTTATTTAGAATCTAAGAACACTTGAAAGACAATGAACACTTTTGAAATAGGAAATACAAGGAAAGAAGAACTTTGTTTGGCATTTGACTCCTAATCTTTCACAGGGTTCATTACCAGTACCGGTAACTTAATAATCAAATTTTTCTTTTCTCTCCTTGTAGCGAAATTATAACTCCATTCCATTATCATTAAGAGATTTTTAAAAAGTTCTTTCTGATCATACACTTCCCAACAAAAAGGAGCTGATGGCATAGTGAGTCACCTCTCCACTCCTTCTCTTGATGACATTTATCGTAAGTAAACTTTTACAGATTACAGATAATACTCATCATCTCACAAGACAGGTTACAGGAATTAAAAGCAAGGCAAGAAGTATACAATGTTTTATCCATTGCACCCCGATCTTTATCTAGCTCCATAAAACAATACTCACAGGACTTGTGGTGTGATCAATACATGCTTTGTGAATAGAACCCAATTTTGCAGCAATATTCTGACAATACGGCTACTAAATTTCCTTTTTATCAAAGCTATCAATAATTTAAAACAAACATTCAAAATAAAACATTACCACAAAGACAGGTAGACACACGACAAACATATCTGAGGTTCACTGAAATTGGATTCAGATTCTCAATACTCAAATTAAGGTAAAAGTTTCCAAAATTTAGGACAGCTGTTTTTTAAACCTAATTTCTTACTGAATTCGGGAAAAGAAGGTCACTTATACAGACACTACCGGTACTTACTTTCACCTAAATCCTCATATTTATCTATCTTGCCACATGGAAAGATTCTTCTTTTTTGGTTGTGGAAAGGATGATCATAAATCCTTACACTTCGGAATCAATTCTTTTACTTCTCCTTTTTAAAAGTAAATTTCAATGTCGATTGGAGGTTAACATAATCTCAATGAAAGTGAATATGCTAAGCTAGATACACTTGAATGTAGGTCAAATAAACAAGGTAGAAAACTTATAGGGATTTGTAGTGCTTTGCTAGAAAATAGAAATTGCACCCAAAACAAACTTTGATGGTCCTACTTTTTTGCAAGAAAACGAAGGATTGACTAAAAGAAATATGCAGTTATTCAACAGTTTTCCTTTTGCGAAGGTCTTACTGAAGGACTGTCATCATAGTTTGTCATCAATCTTAGGCACCTTGTTTTCTATGTTTCCTATTATGTGCAGCATGTTCAGATACAATACTGCAAACATTAATAATGCTAGAAAAATTAAGCTAAAAAAAACCCATATCAGATCAAATTCATTTCCAAGGTAAAAGGAATTAAAATAAACAGAACATTGATGTAACTTTCCTTAATGATCTTGATTAATCTGGTGATGAATCTGATGAAGGTCTAGCATTTCTGACAAATACTTAAATTTTAGGTGACGTCAAGATAAGATTTTACATTTGATGTTTTCAAGGCAAACCTACATCTTGTTTAATCTAAAGATCTGTCAGATAAGATGAGATAAGTTAATCATTCATGACTATGCTTCCAACTACTGAAATGTGCCTAAAATAAGTGACATTTGTGGCATAACATTGGTGTTGAACTTCTGAATTATGTTCAAAAGGTTTAAACATTCCAATTACCAAACACATCAACAAACAACTGACACTGACAGCAAAGTGAAACATTGATTAAATGGCAGATATGTACATAACTACATGTAGGTATATTAAGTAGAGAGAAAGACAGATAGTCTGAATGTTATGAAAGGTTAGAAAGGACCCAGAGGAAATTAGAATGTTAAGAGATGTAAATAACACAAATATTTTTTTGTTTTAATGAATTGATGAATTGGCCGACTCTGTGATGGTATGAACTTTGTACATTGTACAGTGTGATCGTTTTAAGGAACATTTCAAAAACTTAATAACAAACTATGAATATGATTAGAATTTTTATTTCATAACAATTGTAGAAAACACATACCAGATATCTAATGAGAAGGTTAATGTATTAGTCCCATGATAAACCCAACTGGACCCTGTTTCATAAAACTTGTTATTAACAACTGCCACAAATCTGCTTGCAGCCAATCAAATGTTTCGATATCAGGAACTTTTGACAATTATTGTAATTGAAAACAATGTTTATGAAACAGGACCCTGTCTAATATCACTTCACCTATACCAAGTTAATCTATTATCCATACTTGGGCAGATTTTCCAAATGTTATATTCTAATCATCCTTTTAAATGTAATGGCCGATTGGGATACTCTTTATTCTGTAAGATCATCTTAAGTCTTGAATATATCGACTGTTAAGAGCTAGAAGGGCATTAACTCTGTATTAAAGTGTATGAGTTAACACCCTTCTGGCTCCGGACAGCGTGCACTGTAGCCCTTTTGTTAGAAATATTATAATACCAAATGGAAACAATACCAAATAGAAACTAGACCAAGAGGATAAAAGACTACATATGATACTATAGCCAAACTGGAAGGTTGGAGGCTAAGGAATTAGACGAAAATTATAATGAGACCACTTAAAGTAGACAAAGTTAGTGTAGTAAAAGTATGATAGAGAAAAGACGGGGTTGGACCAAATTGCAATACCACATTTGATTATATACACGATTAGTAAGCTGGCATAAATATCCCAAAGTATAAGACCGTTACATTTGCTGAGGGCCAAAAGGGTGTTAAACTTTGTGTAAAATGTGAAAGTTAATGCCCTTCTGGCTCTAAGCAGATCAGTGATTAAAGCTTTAAATAGGCCTGTCTCCATCAGCTCGAGACTTGACTTCTTATACTTAAAACTCGAGCTTGATAAATTAGCTCAAGATATTTTGCGCAGCGTTCGCGCATAGCGCGAGTCTTCGGGCTGGTTATGACGCACCGAACAAATAGCGGGATATTTTGCAAACTAGCCCAAGATATCGTGGGGTGATTTTCTCGACCAAATATCACGCTGATTGCAACTTCGGGCTGATGAAGACGCAAATTAACTGGATAATTTGCGATCGGGATAGTTCAAATAGCCGGATATTTGGCAATCTTGAGCTGATGAGAACAGGCCTAATGAGATGGTTTAATAGTGATGGTATGAGGCATGAAGCAAGTGCGTAAAGAATGTTTGTTTGTTTTCATTCATGAAAGACTTACGATCGGATTCATGGATGGAGGGCAAAGGAGGCGGGCCACCTGTAAACATGCAAATTTATTCAGATTATAAAGTTAAATGGCAGCCAGAGGAGGGAAAAAGGATATGTTACATTTTGCAGCATCAACCATATGACACGAGCAAATGACATCTGAGCATTAACTCCACCAACAAAAAACACCTGATGATTATTAAAAACATATTTATAAATAAAATGAGATATTGACTGTTCGGCCCTCTACCTCATTAAGTGATTTGCAAAGCATACTAATGCCACTTCAAATATATATATGTTTACAGTATAAGTGGAAAAATCATGCTAGATATTTGCTCCAGTACAGGCTGAAGAAGTGTACTGCCAAACACTTACTTTACATGCTGGAGTAGAACCTAAAAATATTAGATATTTGGCAATATTTCTGCCAAATATATGCACTATCAATGACTGAATAAATTTGTAAGTGGGCTAATGAATTCTTTGAGCCAAATTTTAAAAAGGAAACATGCATTTCAACAAGAATATAATAATGACTTTAGCTTCAAAATAAACCATAAACTAAACATGATGTAAAGAAAATACAGCTGCTATCACGCTGCATACTTTTTCAAATCATAAATTGTAGAACACAATTTTATTTGGTAAAATTTTAACTTTTTAAGTACATGTTATATGAGCAGAAATTGGAAAGGAAAGGAATAGGAAATTTAAAAAATCCTGCCAGCAAAAATACATGTAAGTATGGATACATGTTTGTTGTGAGATGAGTGACCTATTTTACAATGAAAATAAATATAGAATTCAAAATTTCTAATCTATATATGTACATGTAGGTAGTCATTTACAAATTTACATTTACTTTGTGTATGTAGTACTTATAAATTCAAAGATCTTATCATACTGTATGACAAAAGTCCATACCACGGGATTAACATGGGATTAAGCATTTAATCCCATCCTGAGATAATATATCCAAACCAGTAAAACACACCTAGTAAGCCGAGATGATCGCAGGGTATATGAAAAGTATATGAAAACGCAACATGGGCTATCAATGTCGGTGTCAATTACATTTAATTAACTAAAAAATTGCTGAGTATTAAAACACGTCAGAGGTTTTATCGCACTACTACTGTTGAATCTTAAACATGCAGGTAAATGTAATTAGAATGATAACTGGAGATTGAGTGGGCTGGGGTGTGGGGGGGGGGGGGGGGGAAGGGGGAGCAGGGTGAAGCATGAGCACAGTGGGGATCAGGGATTAGAAGTAATGGATTAGGGGAGGGGACTCTCATGCCCCCTGGTTTTCAAAACCAAATTTGAAACATTTAATGCATATACAGAATATGTTTAGTTTCATTTTGCTTGTCAAAGATTTGCAATTTTTTTTTTTTTTTTTTTTTTTTTGGGGGGGGGGGGGGGGTCTTTGTGAACCTGTGCCCTACCCCCTCATCCTAAGTCTTTCTAGCCTACAATCTTATGAAATATTAGACATGGTATTGTTAGATCCCTGTACTCACCAAACGCTCTTCTTAAATCCAATTTTCTAAAATCCATTCTGATCGTAAAAACGAGTGCGGAATCCTCTTCATCCATCCTTGAGCCTTATTTTCCAATTCACTTTCAGAAAAACTTTGTGTATACATACTATCGGACCAAAGATGATGGTCAAGACTGTCCATAAGAGAAGTCTGATGGAGCAGCTTCAAAGACTTGGTAAATCCTGTCTGAAAACATAGCTTGGACAGTGAAGAACTAGCAAACAATCACTTCGACAGTAACAGAAAACAATATTTCACCACCTGTCTTTCTTTTGAGTTTTGTTTATTTTTTCTGAAGTAGTGGTCACCTTGGATGAAGATCAAATCTCTTCATTAACTCTTGATTAACATCAAGTTCCAGCCAAACACTCATTCACATTGATAATCAGGTAAGTTTCCGGATCATCATGTGCTGACAGCCGCTGTTCTTGCCAGAAACCTCTTACTATTGTTCACAAACACATGTTCACCAAGCGGTGCGATGAGTTTCTGCACGTGACACATCCTCCATTTAAAAGAAGTAACTCTGTCACGATCTTCCATGGGTAACTTGACCTACAAACAATTAGCTTTTCTCAGCCCCTTAATTCCCCAAAGTTTCCTGTCAAACTTCCACAAGAAAGGAAGTAGCTAAAACAAACTTTGAAAGGCATTTCCATGATCTTCTCAATAAAAAGCTAAGTTTGAAGTCTGATATCAGTACCCCCTCGCAACAGTCGTAGACAGAGACGCTCGCATAAGCCGAGAATAACCACGATGATTGGAAATGAGGAAGGGGAAGAGAGGAAACCAGCTCGTAGACGACTGCCAAAGCTTGGCCCTGGATTGGTGCATCGTCAGTCAATCCTCAAGCTTCGATAACCCCCCTCAATCCATTGACAGTTCCCACATAGAACCCTCTTTCCGTGCCAAGCTGAGAGACCATATTCAAGTCGGGAAGGAGTCAGGAGATATAGTTTGAACTAGATCTGAATTCCCCCCTCCCCTCCAATGCCTGTTACTTAATGACGGCGTTGTTGCTAAATATTAATACCATGTCAGGTGACTCAGTACGTTTTGCATTGCATCAGCATGAGTGGGCTCGTATTGCCGTGGTAACCGAGGGGTATGGGGTGGTTTGATCATAATTCCCCTTCTCGAGGTCACTTCCTTCTGCAAGCCACAGAGTATTCCCCTGAAAACTTTGATACATTTTCTGTAAGTTTCTGGTTTTTTGCAGGCTGAGAAGATTCCAGAGACAATGTAATCCCCTACTACGTCATCTGCCTTCTACTAAAAAGCAGCGATTACTAATCAATCAAGAATTAAACAGCTGGATAGAACTTCTGAATATCGTACAACTCATCAATAATAATAATATTCTGACTTCATGAAGTGCGTAAAACATCAACAATGTCTCTATTAAAGCGCTTTAATATTATTCTCCATTTCTTGGGGAGCATACCAGCCCGGTGCCATTTTTACAAAGGCTCACAATGCTGAGCAAACTACATTAACGTTCGCATCCTACAGGGTACCCATTTCACACCTGGGTGGAGAGAGGCAAATGTAGATTGATGTCTTGCCAAGGGGCGTTAGTGCCGGGCTGGGATTTGAACCTCCTACCTTGTGAACTACAGCCTGGTGACTTATCCACTAGACCACAACACCTCTACAATAGAAGTCAGAGACATCATCAGAAGGCATTCAGGTTCCCCACGGCATACAGAGAGTTTGTGACAAAGACTAAGTATACGCCTGTAGAGTAGGCAATGCCACAAATGCCTATATTGTAGCTGGGCAAACTCCTACATTGTATACCGAGTTACAACTATATTTGCTGTTTTCATAGGCTATAAAATTGTATAAATAATACAGAGTCTGCAGATTGGGATTATAGTACAAATTATTGTGGGAATTTAATAATTTGTTTACAAACATCCTTGTTCATATGTACAGATCCACAGTATTCTTCAGTCCCCAAACAATCTTCAATATTTTTATTTGCTACTCTAAACTAGGTCTCAAATAGCAACACACAAATAAATATTTATACTTGTTGTTTTCAGTTGGATTTTAGTTCCTGTTTACGGGAATTTTTTTTTATATAACTCCAAATTATGTTAATTCTCAGCTTATTGACCAATACTACATGTAACCCTTCCCTTGTCCCAATCAGTGACCAACATGTTCTAAGTTGCAGAAAGTTCTAATCATTGTTTACCCGCTTCCCCTCCCCCTTCCGCCTCCTTCTCAGTAATTCACTGGATCCCAAACTAAATTATTGATAAACTTCATCAAAACAAGTCTGAGACATGATATCATCATTGTTTTTCTTCAGTCTTCACATTTGTAATTTATGAAATCTAGGATCGTCTGGGAGATAATTTGCTGTTGCAATCTGTCTCAGAATGGCAATAAGAGCAAGACATAACAAGATAGCATGAGGATGACATTTCACACTGTATCTCTGCATACAAAAGTTTAAGGCCAGGCAGATGGCTTGAACTAGTCTGGGAACTGTCTTTGAAAAGTTACTAAATCACTCAAGTTTATGTTATTATTTCCTTTATCTCTCCTTGATAAAATGAAGAGAGAACAACCAATCCATATTAGTCTTTTATAGAGTCTAAAACTTTCAGTTGACGATTCTTGTGCAATTTTTTTTACAGCAAGAAATTACAATGTTATATTGATATGCAAAGGAATATAGCAACAATTTGGTCTGATTTGTATGCTGCCCTCTTTGGTGAATGCATTGTAATGCTGGGATTTGTTCTTGTAAGCAAGCAATTCAATTTCTGTCATGTTGATATCTGATCTGATGCATTGATCAAAATAAAGCTTCTAGACGTGATCTCATGAAGTAAAACAGAATGTTTACAAATATTTCAATTATATGCCCCCAGTATTCATTTTTTATAGAAGTACATGTACGGTACATGTAGCTGCCAAAGTGGCGGTGACTGGTCTTTGAACAAGGCACCTACAATGTACATTACATCCATCAAATATGATTTGGAGGTGTAATTGCTCTTTGCCTCTGCTGATCATACTAGCTTTTGAGTCTGAACTTAATCCTAACTCCACCCTTTCAGCAGTGAACATGAAAGGGATATCAGGTAACCCCCAAGACACACCTGTCATAAGGAAAGAGTGCAGGTAAGTTCCTTCCTCTGACTGGGGTATATTACTTGGTCGCCCCTATGGATCAGTCCAGTACAGGATTCACTGAAGGAAAGTTCTGGACTGAATGTAACCTTAACTCTTATCAGCATTGAACATGAAAGGGGTACCAGGTAACCCCCATGAGACACCTGTTATGAGGATAGAGCCCAGGTAAGTCTCTTCCTCTCTACTGGGGTATATTATTTGGTAGCCCCTATGAATCACTCCGGTTCAGAATTCACTGAAGGAGAGTTCTGGACTGAACCCAACCTTAACCCTTCCCAGTCTTCAGAGAATATGGAAGAGGTGTCAGGTAACCCCCTGGAGACACCTGCTTATCATGAAGTGTCTGGGT